GAAGTGTATTTTGGGGTTCTTCAGGTGGGAAGAGAAGACTGAAGCTAAAGATGATGACTGGAGCCCAGACACTGTGTTCTGGGTTTAGCAGTGAAAGGGGAGGAAGTGAACGGATTTTCTCACCATGTGTCAGCCAAGCTGAGCAAAGTACAGGAATCTGAGGGTGTTGTGAAAAAGCAGATATGGCCAGTACTATGAGTGCAGAGGAAAGGTAGGAGTCACATCTAGATCCAGGACAGCCCTTCTCTGACATGTTGCCCCAATGTAGACTTAGATCAACATAGAAACCATTGTTGTGTAAGCTACAACCCACAGACTGGGGTGAGCCCTGAGCTCTGCACCCAACCTCTCTTTAAGAGGCTCCAACTTCTACCTTCATTACTCCCTCCTGACAAGTCCTCAAGAGAACATGTGCCAGATTCTACCTTTGATGAAGACCTTACTTCCCACCTCGAATGGAAGCTCCTTACCCAGGCTTCCAGTCATAGCACCTCCTCCATGATAGAAGATGATGCCTCGGTGGGGTTTGGAAGACACTTCCTTGGGCTTGAACAGCCTCACAGGGACTGTTCCAAAATGTGTGTCAGTCACCAACACATTAGGATCCTTCTTTATCATCATTAGGCCTTGGAGAAACCGTAAAAACCTGGGCATGGCACAAATTCTCAGTTTCTCTAGTATGTTCCCCTGTAGTAGACAAAGGATGGAAAGTGAGGCATAAGAGACTGTGGTGGGTGAGTATCTCCTGAAGTCAGTTAACATTTTCAAGTTTATTCACCAGTTCTCACCTGTTTTCTATATGTGCAAAGATTTCATGGAGACATAACTCACTGTGCATTCTTTTCAGATATGGGAAACTATTCAAACTTGTCTTCCACAAGTTCCTGAATAAATGATGATGTTGCTGTGACTGAAGTGTTGGCCTCCCTCCATCAAAACTCATGCTCAAATTCCATTCCCATTGTTAAGAGGTCGGCATTTTAAGTGGTGATAATGTGGTATCCTCTTGAGTTAATTAAGTCCTTTATGAGGTACTGGGATGGATAACTTCATAATTGGCTTCTAAAGACTGAGGTCACCTGGTTTTTCTCTCCTTTGACCAAAGTCATACTTGCCTTTTCTACTAAGAGGTGACATGAGATGACCCATTGCTAGAACCAATGCTTTAGGGATTCACAAACTCGAAGAATGGGTACAGCCATTCTTCCTTGCTCTGGGCTACAACAAGCAGCTTGGTGTGCTCACAGCAAAGCCACAGAGGTGAAAAAAATGGACAGATGCCCTCTAGAGTTGCCTCAGGATGAGAGAGCCAGAAAATTGAGACAATTAATAAAATATTTTCATACTATAGATCTTGATAATGCATATTTTTAAGAGTTTCTTTGGCCTCTGCTTCTCTAGGCCAATTAGTGTTCACTTGAAACTATCAACAGGGTACCTGGAGAATCATACCCCACAGGTACCTTAACAGTCCCACTATTTGTCAAGGGCTGGTGACCCAGGTCCATGCTTTATTACCCTACCCATCCTCTGTAAACACTCTATTGCAAAGATGATGGATTGTTAATCTCTTAATGTTCTACACATTAGAATTCACCTGAATGGAATACAGATACATGTTACGAATAGTTGACAGAGAGTGAGAATGATCTAACAAGGTACAAGGACCAGGCATAGCTGTAAAAATCTTGGGAGTGCTATGATCCTGTAAATCATGTATGATACCTTACAAAGTAATTGAGAAAAACCTACAACATCCAGTGTCTGCAAATTTAAAGGAGATGCACTATTCTTGGACTCCTCAGATGTTGGCAGGTTTTCACAACACACCTTGCCCAAGTAGCCTGCCCATTGTACAACTTGGTAAAGAGAGGGACCATATGGAACTGAGACAAAAGGGCACAGGGGACTTTTAATAAGGCTAATATGAGCTATTTTTGCTGATGATTATTGTATATTATTGTATATATTATTTTATCTATATGTTATTGTATCTATTGCTTAGATGATTGAAGGGTAGGCTAAACAGCTGGGTGCACTTCTACCCCAGTGGATAAAACACATGTGAATAGAATATATATATATATATATATATATATATATATATATATATAATTCAGCTTGACTCAAGATAGAATGGTAAGCACACTGAATAGAACCTGTGCATTTCAGAGACGGATGGAAGAATGTCTGGAAGGACACCACTATGAGGTTCTTGTAAGCATTTCCAATTAAATAAATGACTATCAAAGCCACTCTAGAGCATCACACAACTCAGTGGTAAATGTGGGCACTCACAGAGACTTGGTGGTGACAAGAGTAGCCGTTTCACACACTGATGTGCCAAACGTGACTGAATACAAGCAGGTTCAATGACACATCCACCACCATACAGACTGACTGGGCCTGGGTTACTTTTTTAATAGATTATTAAAACAATAGTTAAAGTGCTTAAGTACAGAGGCAGCCTGCAGGAGTGAAAAGGGCACCCCCAGAGGTCATAACTTTGTTAAACGAAACCCCCAGGTGCCAGACATGGCTTGTCTCCCTACAAGTTGTTGGTCAGGGTGGCACCTGAGACCCCATAAAACATAAAGGCTCTGGCCACTGTGGTTGGATACCTGCTGGGACTACATCTGGCTTGAGTACAGGAAGAAATAAAGCTGGGACAGAGATAGAAGTTTTCTTCTTACTGACTATCTTCATAGTGCCAGAATGTGCTATGTGGGCTGCTGGAAGTAAACAGTCACAGAAAGACCTGCTCATCTATGGTCCCTGCATGCTATAGTACCAAATGCCAGAAAAGATGTGCCTGCATGTGAAATAAAGACATGGCTTTTGTGAGACTGTCAACAGCTTTCCATTGTATATAAGACTCACTACACATGAGAGAGTTCATATCTGGTACTGTAAACCAAAACAAAACCCAGTGGCTAGGGAGGTCACAGCTTCCAGAAGGCAAGTCCCTGATACTTGTTTTTGTTTTTGTTTTTGTTTTTGGCTTTTTTTTGGGGGGGGTTGGGTTTTTTGTTTGTTTGTTTGTTTTTCGAGACAGGGTTTCTCTGTGTAGCTTTGAGCCTTTCCTGGAACTCACTTGGTAGCCCAGGCTGGCCTCGAACTCACAGAGATCCACCTGGCTCTGCCTCCTGAGTGCTGGGATTAAAGGCGTGTGCCACCACCGCCCGGCTATGCCTGATACTGTTTTTAATGTATATGATGTGCTTAGCAAACTGCCTTCTGAACATTTGTGCATAACCCCATTGATCACTGTTACTGTTGACTTCAGAATTTCTTTTGTAATGGATGGTGTACCAGAGGACCAAAAACCACCAATGAAACTCCTGAGAACAAGTGACTGCTGATGGGCAGAGGCCTCAATAATTAGCCTTAAAGGACATCTATTATTCTTAACCCTTCTGAGACTCAGCGAACTTCAAGGAGAAAAGAATCAGAAAGAATATAAGTAAAAGCATAGGAAGAGGTAGAGAGATGTACAGCAGGTTCTTCTATATGGAAACGTTCCCTCCAAAAGGGAGCAGGCAGCTCATGGCACTCAAGGGGCAAACTTCACATGACTGGAAACATTTCATAATCCTACAGGCAGTAACCAACTGTTGGACAAGGAACTCTGAGCAGAGGTACAGAACTGATGTTCTCAGGCCTGGCAAGCTGCAGAAGGCTCAAAATGACTTGAATATCCAAGCTCGGAAGTCATATTCTTGTGAAAAACACCCTCCACCTCCTCCATCTTACATTGGTGGCTACTTCTTCCTTAGAAACCATCACTACACTGTCCAGACACTGTGAGAAGTCATTGAAGACACTATTGCAAGTGTAGAATTATTTAGATGTCTCCCTTCTATCAGGAAGAGGTCTATGGGGAGAACAACCCCATGTAACTGGAGTTGACTGTCCCACAAAACCAAAAACGCAAGATCTCCCACATAAAACACACCATGCAGAGGAAACACTATACTCACCTCCACATCTTCTGAGAGCACATGTAGCCTGCCAGCATCAGCAGGTGCTTAGATTAGAGACTGTTTATAACGGGAAACAGTAAGATTGGAAGGATTCACATGTTTCTGTGCCTTTGGTGACCCAAGGCTCTCATTTGGAGTGCCAGGAGCCCAAACTAGCAAGTGAC